GAGGATTGCGAGGAGTTGCTTGCTTCTCTCAACAAGAAATTTCCCACCAAAAACCTTGGAGAGTGTCAATGGTTTGATGGGTGTGCCATCGAGAGAGATGTAGAGGCTGGGACTCTTAGAATCTCCCAAACCGCGTATATCGACAGCATGGTTGAACGCTTCGATGTGAAATCAACTTCCCGCATCCCCGCTACCCCTGGTGCCGATCTAGGGCCGAAGCGAGAGGATGAGGAAGGAGGGGAGTGGCCGGGGCCATCGGCAGCATGATGTGGGTGTCGATTTGTTCCCTGGGTCGGCAAACTTTGAAGCACACGAACCACGGCAGCATGCCACGTTCAAGACAGCCTCGAAGTCTTTCGCTTTGGCGTGCCGACGTTTCTTTTTGGCTGGCTGTGGAGAATCTGCTGCAGGTTGAGCAGAGGGCAGTGAAGACACTCCTCGACCAGACTGAGGTGGACGTATGTTGGTAGCCTCCCGAGCGACCGGCCCGGCGCCGAACAAGAACTCGAGCGCCCCTGGGGCGAACGACATCGTCTGGGTGACGATGGCAGCAGCCAACCACATCCAACGCCGCATGGCTCTGCTGGCTGCAGAGGGGTGTGTTCCAACCAGGGGGGAAAAAACCAGCTCGGCCATTTACGGGAGATTCCAATTTCTCTGCGTCAATTGGTTGGGTGATGTTCGCGACGGACAAGATGTGGCACACTCTGTTGTTTAACAATAGAAGCACCCGTTCGATCGTCGGAAATTATTTACCAATAATTGTTGTTGTTGTTGTCTTCACATTAAAAACCATCCCGGTCTCTCTATCCAGTACCTCCTTCTGTCTCAATCTCTCCGTCCTAATCCATCACTTGACTCGGCCAATTTCCGTGGTCACAGGCTAACGTACCTAGAAAAGGTATACCAAAATANTGAGGGGTTTTGCCCGGACGCCGGGTTTCCCCTCCATATGTTACCATGTTGGTATTTTCTGATGTATCCTGGGGCGTTCTTGCCCAATTGATGGTTAGTCACTTGCGTGAAGAACCAGGGAGGGTGTTCGTGAGTCTGCGAACATTGCTGTTGGATACATGTGCTGGATGATTTTGTGTCACGCAGACTGGTAAGATAACCGTTTGATAGGGGGCACCGCGATGATTCACGGGGCCCCTCCTTGCTGTGGGAGCCGCTCTTTGAGCACTCCCTCTTTCGTCCGTGTGAAGGATGGTCGTCTACCTCCCGTGAAGTTAATACATCACCAAAACAGTCTCACCCGATAAATAAGTGGCGTAGGCCGCAAACAGTATGTACGGCGTCGTGCTTCGTCAAGCGAGAGACCATCAGCTCGATTTCACGTCTCGCTTGTCAATTGAACAAAATGTGCATGAAGCACAGAGCGTCGTCGATTTCAACGACTTCAAATCTGGACGACGAGAAATCATCAGCTCGATTTGACGACTTGTTGGTCATTCGAACAAGATGTCGACTTCAACGACCACAAATCTTTTGAACGTCCGAGCCGCACTCTGTTCGTAACAATGAGATTTCAATGGCCACAACCACAGGTTTGCGGCACGAGCGATAGTGTCGGTTGGTTATGGCACAAAAGGGATACTGAAGATTCAGAGCCACTCCTGAAGGTGACAAAACCTCACAACCCTATCCTTTGCTTCACCCGCAGGAAGATGATCGTTCCATTGTTGGTTCAACCGTCCTTTGCTTCACCCCGAGGAAGATGATCGTTTCAGTGCCAGTACGAAGAAGGCATTTCGCCGACAGTCCGCCCTCTCGGTTCAAATTGCCTGGTCCAGGATAGAAAGCCAACCATTTTTCCCAGTTGGCGACAGCCGTCGACTGCATATTACCCCAAGACCGTTCGCCTTCCTGCACTGCGCAGTAGTCTTCGCGTGACCGACCAACACCACCACCAAAAGTCAAGACCACTTCTGAAGTTAACTTGAGCAGGCTCCCAGGCCAAGGTAGGTTGCGCATAGGAAGATAAGACATTCGAATCAGGTTGTGTTATGGTAGCAGCACTAACTACTGTAGTGCCTCCAACGACTTGGACAACGAGCTTGGCAAGCGATACCAGGGGTCGTTTCCATGGCATGATCGTTACAGGGACATATGGTGGCCCCCGGTAGGAACAATCGGGCGTGGTTCAAACGGGCTCTTTTTTGCCCTACGTAGACTACAAAGACTATGTTTTGTTGCAAAGATATTGCTTGTTCCCGCTTTTGTGTCCCGGGCCAACACCTTCTCTCTCGACCTACCATTTGAATGTCTTCTTCCTCTGCGCAGCAGACCAGCACATCGAGAAGGACGATGTGGCTTCCTGCACTTTCGAAGATACTACCCCTGATGATGGTGTGTTGGCTCCTCTACACTCCCCCTGCGGACGCGTGGGGAATGAAATCGGCCGTCATTGTGAATTGGTCGGGATTGTTGCTTGCTGCCGCGGTACATGCTGTGTGTGAGCTGGTCGTTGCGGCGACGGTAGACTTCACTCATTTGAAATGTTGCTTGTACCGATGGTCTCGTTCGTTGCTCGCTCTCCGTTTCCCGACTCGTCGTGTCGTCAAAACGCTTTGACACAGGCATCCGGGAAGCAAGTGTGGGCGGACCTGCGAACGGAGGTAAAGGACATCGTTCAAGCCCAGACTCCGAGCCTTGCACTTGCAAGCACGTTCGGCACCAGGGTTTGACAAGAATACAGCCTTGATAATGTCCTCCTGTATTTCGTATAGTCTAGTCTACATGGTCTACTTTTCAGTAGGCTCTTCCTTCGCACGCTTGACGCACATTTTTGTAAACCAATCATCAAACGAATAGAACTTGCGCTGCTCTACTGCACACTGTGTTCAGTCGACAGCCAGCCACGTCGAGCGCGGCCAACAAGATTCTGTAGCACCGGCTGTCCTTACAGTACCCCCGTGCTGTACCGCGCACACGTTTCGTCGAAGCTGCGGTGGCACACACTCTAGCCTACGTCCCCAGGCCCGGTTATCGCGCTGGCTCTGACCATGTGGATACTTGCGTTGTTGCTGCTTTCTTCATGCAGGCCTCGAATACGCACACAATGAGGAGGGGAATCCCTTGACACCCGAGACACAAGTCTGACTCCCAGAATACTCTTTGCTCTTTGGCAATGGCTTAATACTTTCGCCCCCTCCCACCTCCCGCCCTATTCCTTAAACAGGACCCCGAAACCGCAACATCGCCGACCACAACCCCCGCCGAGACTCCGGGACGGAGGTAAGCGCGATACACTGCTGGCAAGCCATCGCACGAACGATGCGTTGTACATACCCTTTCTACCGCTGTCCGCTGCACTGCTTGCCCGCGCATCCAGCTCTAGCAGCGCACTACCTACCGCCGCCTTTGACCCGCATTCACAATCATAGCTTAGTCCGGGGTGCTATCATGGTCGTGCATTGGTAAGACACCTCAGGATTGACTGAAACTCGCGAGAAGAGAACTTCAGTCTAAACAACAACCGGGGGTGGTTGCTTCTACCGCTGCTTGCACTGGCTGACCCTACTGTTACCGCGGATCCCATCTTGATCCCTTCATTGGTGGCCAATCCTTCTCGTGGGAGGGGTGTTCTCTGTCCTAGCGATGGTCGGCCTCGTCAGGCTGTTCGCATTCACCGCCCGGCGCATGGCATTGATAGTGGCAGCCACGTGGCATGCTTACCTGCAGAGAAAGGTCTCTGGAATCGTCGCCTCTGCCTTGCGAAGGCCTTTTGCCAGGCTCCAGGCAGAGCTCACGTCTGCCCTTCCTAGGCTGTGGGGAGCCGTCTCGAACTTGAACCCGCGGCTGGGTCGGGTGAAGGAACTCCACCGATGCGCCATGAACGCCCGCGGCGCCATGTGCCGCAAGGCACGTCAGCTGGATGAAACCGTTGAATGGCTGACAGAAACGGTTTTGAATCTCGAGGCGATAATCAGCGAGACACGCCGGCTGGTTGCAACGGTGGAATGGCTGGCAACATAAATTGTGAACCTCCAGGCGATCATCAGCGGTGGGGCGGCTCAGCTTAACCATGTAACCACCTTGGTAAACGGCCTGCTCACCGCTGCTGCCCGGGCGAGGCGAGAGCTTGACGACGCAAGGCAGGAGGTCGTCGACGTGAAACTGCAGAGGGCCGCGGACTAGATCACATCGATGGCGGAGATCGATAGGATGGCGGAAGAGCACGCCCGCGCTGTGGCCAGGCTTTGGGCCGAGTGCGAGGCAAGGGATGCGGCGCTTCGAGACGAATGCGAAACAAGAATCGCGGCAGCGTGCGCAAGAATGGCGGCCGAGATTCGGGCCGACTTCGATGCCAGGCTACTGGCCAATGCCGACTGGAGATAGCTACAACAGGTAGAGACACCAGGAGGAGGGGGTCGAGATGGCGGAGTGGGGACGTGAAGGAGTTACTGGGACTGTAGACTGTTTGTTTGTTTGTTGTTGTCGTATTGTAGTAGTGTTGTAGTTTGGCTCGTACCCCGTGCTGTGTGTGTGTAGCTCAGCAATCGCTTGATGAGTGCGCTGCGCCCTCGCGGCGAGGCTCGCAGACATTTGGCTTGGCTGCGGTCTGTTGTAAGTTTCCATGTGAAAAGAGACGCGACCGAAGTTTCGGCAAGTGTTGCCATCAACCTCGTGGTCAATGTCCCGGGCCTTCTTTCAGCCTTTTCTCTTTTTTTTTGTTTTGCCGCTGTGGAAGAATATGATCTACGTAACAAACAGCTTGTGCGAAAGGTTTCGTTTGCACAAAGCTCACACGTGGTGTGCGATACTCGCGCCCGCTCGTATCCCCAAGGTAGCAGGGGAAAAGATTAGTCCGTGCGACGGAGCATATTGACGTTTGACGTTTTCGTGTAGTGCTGCAGTCCTCCTTGTTGAAGCGACAGATCAACAGCTCATCTACACGTCATGCAAGCCATCGTGCGCAACGGTACTTCGACGCACACACGACCACACACGAACCACGACTTCGCTCGCTATCTTTATGGCTCTTATTTCCTATTTTGCCACATTTTGATGGCACGGTTGTGATATACCAGAAGGCCGTTTGTGGGAAACGTATTGACAAGGTGCCGCGCTCGTCGTGCCCTAGGCTACATAATGTACAATCAATCGTCCTCCTCGTCGTTGCCCATTAAGTGGTCCGAAAGCTAATCTCAGGTCCCGAGTGTGACACGGATTTCTTAGCGCACTTGGTACACCACTTTTTTTCCGACAAACGCCGACGAGGGAAGGATGTTCGCCGTCTCCCTTGCTGCAAGAATTGCAAAACAAACACCGCGGCGGATACAAGGTTCTGTGTGGTTTCGACTGGAACACGCCTTGACCCCGGCGTTTGGAAAGGACTGGGACATAAAACCAATCACGATCCGATGAACACACTGTGTAAGCAGCCTGGACAACAGTTCAGACGTATTGGTTTACTGCCTTGACTGACTGCAACTTCACATCGTGTCTGCACACACACGCGCGAACAATCACACTTGCACAGCGCAGACATGTAGTAACAATTCTGTTCTATCGTTGTTTGTCCGCGCCTTCGCAGACCGTGCAAACTTGCTGACAGTAACCAATCCCACTACCTCATTTCCTGTTCGCTCCAAAAACTCCTCCGGGGCCACAGGTGAACCCTTTTTACAGAATCACTTCACGTACGAACAAACTCAGACAACGCCAGCCGCAGGCGGAAGGCTGAGGTTGGATCCTGAGAAACCTTGTCACCCAACTGTGCGGAGAGTACTCATCATGAGCGAGGTCTGCCGGCACCTACACGATGACGGCCTCAAGCACGAGCGCCGCGGTCGTGAAAACTGCAAACTGTCCAAGAACGGGCAGGGTGACACGTGACGACGCGCTGGAGTCGTCCCCCTCCGGAGGCGAATTGGGTGGAGGAGGGGGGGGGGGCATCAACACCAAGAAACAGGTGCACTGTTCACCAACACTAGTACGCTTTGCATGTGTGCGAGGGATGAGATCGCGGTGTACCTGTCCAACGGGTCGGCAACGTCAGCTGCCTCCGAGGGTGAAGGCACAACGCACCTGCAGCAGCAACAGCAGCATAAGGTCCTGCCGGCTCCTGCCGGCACCACGTCCGCGGACTCGAGGGCTGAAGCCCGTAGTGCTGCCGCCCACGTTGACGCGCCTCTTGCTCCGAACTGGAGCAAGCGTACGCGCCCAACAACAGGATATGTAAGTGTTAGGGTTTTGCCAAATATTCGTCCTTGCCCTGGTGATGTGATGTACGAGGCGCGTTTGCCGGCGCCACATACACGGCGTCTGACATTCTTACCCAGAGCGTAGTTCGGGCGAGAGTGGCAACCTTTCCAGGGCACCTCGAGGTCTGATTTTACTTCCCGTAGGCCACGTGGGAGGTGAGTGCCTTTTGCGGGATCATTTCTCCAATGACTATCGTTCGAGAATGCTGAAAAGCTGCACGACCAGGCCGGCTGTGTGTCATGTATGTCGTCCATGTTCAGCGAAGCACGTTCACGCCCTTGCTCCTACGCTGTTATTGCGCGTCTCTTGTGTTTCTCTGGCTGGGCCCTAGATGGGGCGTATTGACCCGGCGTCGTGTGGTCCAGCGAAACAACCAGACTACACGTCAACAGCGGCACCAAAAAGACTCGGGTGAGTCAATTAGCATATCACACATAGCACTCCCGTCTCGTCGACCTACCCCACCGTCGTGTTGAAAATGGGTAGCTAGTCATCTCATGTTGGTGCTGTGGGTGTGACATTGTGACGCGCGCCTCAGTGGTGAGCTTTGCCATACGAACAGGGTCACACGCTTGTTATGTATGGGACAAAAGGACGCCAACAACGCAACGCAGGAAGAGATAGGAGCCACTTTCGCGTTGATATCGGAAACAATCCTTTCGCCAGGCCAACTCTCCTGTTGGGAGCACGCACTTTCCGGGGAAAAGATAAACGCATGCATGTATATGCAAACGATGCTCCGTAGGCATCGGCTGATGACCTCCACGCCTTCCTTAATCTATGTGTGTAACCGACACGGGGGGGTGACACGAACGAGCTCCGTAGGCATCGGCTGATGACCTCCACGCCTTCCTTAATCTATGTGTGTAACCGACACGGGGGGGTGACACGAACGAGCTCCGTAGGCATCGGCTGATGACCTCCACGCCTTCCTTAATCTATGTGTGTAACCGACACGGGGGGGTGACACGAACGAGGTTGTTGAAAATATCCGAGGTGTTGGACGTTCCCAGTCTTCTTTTACTTTGATTCACACTGCTGTCTCTGTTGTTGGTGGGGCACCCTGTTACGTCTCGAGCGTCTGAAGTGGCAGTTTGGTGTGTTGGATTAGTGTTTCGTTTGTCATGCGCACATAAAAAGCGAGAACGCAACATAGGGAGAACACGCACTGCCGATGTTGTTTGCTGTACTTTCGATTGTGCTGTGGGGCGTAGGATTCCATGTGTGGAAGGGATGTTTGCCGTTGAGGGGGAGCATCTCTCGCCCCCCTCACCTGCAGTCGTCTTGATGTGGCGTGACGCCCTTTGGTTGCCCAAGCATTTGCCGCAATGTGAGATGCAGTCACCAGGAGCCATATACATATGTCTCGTCGACGAATGATTGTTGGGACGATATGGCCGCGCTTTTCCGGCCGAAATGGTTGCCGTTTGGACAAAATAGCAAGGGAGGCGTTACCGACGAACATATCATAGGGCGGAAGAAGGTTTTAACTCTCAGTGCTATGATACTACTGCTGTTTCATGGGCAAGTTGTTGAAAGGAGACCAGGGTACCGTTCATTGTTGATGTGCTTCGGGGGCGCGGGGGGAGGGGGGTACTCTTATGTCTTGTATGCCTTAGCAGTTAGACCATTGACCACGCGTCCTTGAGAAGACGAAGCATTTTTCCCACAGGACCGATCACCGATGGCAAATCGTTCCTTTGTACTTCGCCAAAGAGTCTATCTTTCCTGTCGATACAAATTCCCGCCTCTTCAATCCACGTCCTATGCCCCAGTACGGCTACCGTCTTCTCCTCGCTATGCCACGCCTCAAACATCTTCCATTATCTCCCCTCGAATTTTTCAGCTCAGTCATGCACACTTCCCTCACCTTCTTAGGGGCGCAGGAGGGGGGGGGGGCGCAATGGTTGTGACACTGCTGCGATGGGATTCCAGCCGATTGCGGGTGTAAGTTGTGTCTCGTCATTCCGCAATGGCTGGAGGTACACAGCGGATAAGATATCGGCCAGGACGCACTTGTGTGTTAAAAAATTCTTACGAAAAACATTATTTGTGATTCGCCATTGCGTTACATAATGACCTGTCTCTAGCGTTGGTCATGCCGAAAGGTGCTCTAGCGGAGGGTTCCCCACTGAGCACCTGGTTCTTGTATTTTGTTTCTCTCATGACTCACTTTCTCAGCTGCCAGTTTCATAGGCAGTGGCGCGCACAGTGGCCCCGCCCGACGACGTTCTTCGTGCTTCGGCCGGTGTGATGAAACCGTTGAGAGGCGACACGTCTAGATCGAGGGCAGATACTTTTTTTCATGGTTGAAGGGAGTACGCGGCAGCACCCATGTACCTCGAGATATACATATCACGGAGCCCCCATGGACTAAGCACGGCCAAACATTCACCCAACCCGGGCCTCTGTGGCCTGCAAGCTCGGAATTCGCACAGCACCGGCACCCATCGGGCCTACCAGTTTACCACCCACAGGTGCGTCGAACAAGAAGCGACGTGGAGACGCTGCTACACCGTCAAAAATAAACGCGCAGGGTGTTGTCGCAAACCCAGGAACATCTTCACGTGGTACGCGACCCGGAAACAGGGGCGTCTCGAAATAATCAACAGCGGCAGGGTGCTCCAATCCCTCCCGAATCTACGTGTTGCTCTCCACACCACGTGTGAACAAAGGACCCTACGACAGGGCTGAAACATCTGGCTTGGAACCGTCTGGCCGAAGGGGTGCAACCAAAAAAATGTTGTGCTACCTACAAAGAGCGTCGCCCCACGTGTACTGTACTGCATCCTTCCTCTCCCTCCGGCCCTCAGGGTTGCTATCCAACGACGACGCGTGGGCTGCCATCATCATGCCTCGTCCACCTCTTCGCCAATGTCCCCCTCGTAGCACCCCCATGCCTTGTGGCTCTCCCACAGCTTGATGCAAAGAGTGCCGTGGAAGTCCTTGCCGCACTTAGCTGCGAGCTCGTCGAATATCACCTGCCAAAAACAAGCATAGCGCCAACCAACAACAGCAGTCAGCACGGTCGGCGAGCCTCTTTTCGTTCTCGGTGGAAGTAAGGCGTCGGCATGTACCCGCATGGTGCTGAATCCAACACGAGCCCTGCCAAAAAGTTCGATCTGAGCAGTGCTTCACTCCACCCAGGAGACGGCTTATTTCGTTACCAACTCCGTCCGGCAAAATGTTTGATAGAGAAAAGAGGTAGAAGCAAGCAGGCAAAGGCATTGCTTGGCATGGGTTTCATGGTAGCATGGACTCGAGAGTAGTGCAAGAAAAAACAGGTTGGAATCAAACGTTCAACGTCTTGCGTCTCTCTGGGGTTCTCCGTGCAGGAATCACAAAATGGGCATCCAAGCCTGTTTTCAGTGTCGATGAGTGCGGCTGCAGCGTGCCGATGGCCACACAATACGGTGAACATCAGCAATGACCGCTGTTGCTCCTTGTCTCCCTCAGTCATCTTCTTGGTCAGTTTATGTAGACTTCAACCAGTCGAGAAAAATGGCTGGCGAACGACCCGGCCAGAACTAGTGTGAGCACGCACAACCGCTACCAAAAGCAGCAGCTACCCGCACCGACGTTTGATCTCTAGGCTCCACCGCGGTTCACCGACGAATCAACGGAAAAACGGTTGCCAACCTAAGCGGCGTTTCGGTAGTACAACTCGGCAGAAAAGCAAACACTCAGCCAGGTACAGCGATCGACGCTAGCCTCGCAAACTATGAACGAATGTTGTCTTTACCACCACCCCAACCCGTTGGCGAGGGATATGGTTACTTGTCGATCACCTGTTTCGGCATGCGTTTCGGGAGAACGTGGGCGGGCGTATGCACACCACGGATTCGGAGTTATCGCTCTAATTGGATGAAAGGATGAGTCTCGGAAATGTCATTCCGCCCCGGCACTCACCACACTTCAGCGTCAAGAGTGCTGCAAACGTGAAAAGCGCGTACGCCGGTGCGTCCACCACACTGCTGTCGAAAGTACCACCACAACATGATATCTGGGGAGAGAAAAACCGACGCAGCAGCACGACTTTCGATTGCCACCCTTCAGTACCTTGCACATGAACTCGGTGGTTGTGTTTTGTCCGGGGAAGATCTCGTTGAGGTTCTTGAAGTTGTACTTGGACAGCACCGCAGCGAGCATCTCCGAGGCGGCGCCTATGTCCACGACCCAGTTGGACTTTTCCACGAGGGCCTCCGTCTTGAACTCGGCATCGACCGTGTACGTCGCCCCATGCATCTGAACGGGAGTCCCGAGGTTTGCGAGATGCACACGATGCCGCCAGTCATGTCCTCTCTCATGGTGACAAGTTTCAAAACGTAAAACGTGGCACACAGCGGTAGCCTGCAGGCAGCCGTAGCTGACAAGGATTTCGCACTGCCAGGGGACCCCTGAGTGTGTTTGGCTCAGTCGGTAGATCATACAGCATCGGGCAATGTCGAGAGAAACAAAACGAGAGAGAGATTGCGATCCGCCTCTGCAACAAGAGGTTGGTTCCTTTGACATGCGAAGGATAACAGACCGGGGATGACAGGACAGGTGGGCAATCACCTATTACCATGTACATTAGCGGCCCAAGCCTCATCGTCTCCTGTTGGAGGCCGCACCCGCGTGCCAGTACATAGACTACAGCAGCCCAGCCCCCAATTGCTCTTGGGTGGCGTTAAGTCAGCTAAACAGTCTGCGCTTTGGGGGAACAAACGCACCTCTTGGGCAGGCCCGAACTGCGATCCCTCAAAGCTGTGAGCGATCATGATCGAGTCTCGGATGCCCAGGGAGTATCCCTGGTGGCCGCCTCCGCCTCCCGCCGTCGGGTTGTGGGCAGACGTGAGCACCGCCATCAAACACACCCACACAATCGCCAACAGCCTCATCATCGTCACTACCTCTGTCGATCTCTCTCTCTCTCTCTCTCTCGCTCTCTCTCTCTCTCTCTCTCTCTCTCTGTCGCTCTCTGCTGGTAGGTGTATGTCATCTGATGCCATGTACGATATGCCCTCACCTTCACCAAGAAGGGCCCTAATATGTCGATTCACACGGGCCTTCTTGACAGTCCCGCGAATGAATGCGGATAGTGCCGCAGTTCCGCCATTGTTGCGACGTTGCGACGTTGCGACGTTGCGACGTTGCGACACCGGCACACAGCTCAGCGATCATCCTGCCGTCCTGCTGTCGTCTCGTCTCTCATCACTCTCCACCGCCGCCCCATTTGGTTCGAGTGGATCTGTTGCGCACAACATCTTCTCGCGTTCTCGGCTCACGCAGGAAGAAGTGAGTTCATCACAGCAGCTGCTGTGCAGTGGCGCCCGGCGCCTTTTGCCCTCATTTGCCATCAGGCGGTCTCTCGCTCCACCCATGGTGAGCTGGCACACTGTGTGCGTAGCGTATCCTCTCTGTTCGCGGAGGAGTTGAAATCAGCCGCAACACCAGTGCTACCGTGGATGGCACAGCATGTGCATACAGCAGCATTCCTGCTGAAGTAATGTACAATTTAGTCTACAATGCAGACTCGTTTTCGAACACCCTCCTGTCTGCCAAGTATCGCCACTGCAAGCGTCTACACCAAAATAGGTACTCCACTCTTGCCTCTCACAGCACTTCTAATGCTTACCCGTGTTTCGTCACATTCTTGCTGCAGGCGACCTAGAGGACGCAAGCTAGATCACCTCAGCTGCCGCGTCTTTCTCTCCGTCCGCTCCGGCGAACTCCACCCACAACGACACGCAAAAACATGGAGGAGCTGTTCGAGCAGCTCCAGGATGACACCCGGTCGTTTTGGCAAAACCCTTCCTCGGGGGTACGGCGCCTGGACACCATGCCTCCACCCGCCGAGTTTTTCCGAGACTACGTCGCCACGAACACCCCCGTAATCCTATCTGGAGGAGGTTGCTTCAAGGGGGGCGGGCGGAGGAGCTGCTGGGATGACCTCGCTTCATTGGCCGGAAGGGATTCGGAAGGGCTGGAAGTTACCGTGGACTTCACGCCCGACGGCAGGGGAGACTGCGTCATTGATGTTGCCAACAGCATGCTAAGCGAACTTTCGACAAGCGACGCCAACGCGAAGCGAGACAGCGCTATCGGGGGTGGCGCTGCAGGAGCGGAGGGCAGCCGTAAGAGCTGCGGGACAGGTGATGCAGTGAACGGCGGTGCGGCGGCAGCCGCAGGTACCACCGCGGTGTTTGTCAAGCCCGAGGAGAGAAGGATGAAGTTCGAGGCCTTCATCAGCACGCTCTTGAAGGAGGCGGCGGCAAAGGCCGGTGACAAGAGCAGTAGCACCCGCACCAGCGGTGGTGTTGGGGGGGGGGTGCCCTACTTGTCGCATCAGGTATGCGACGCTTACGACGTTGGACTACTCTGTGAGACGATTGTACAACCGTGTCGTGTTCCGCTAACTCGCGGCAGAGGGTCTGGAAGGAGGTCGATAATTTCCGCCGCCGCTATGCTCTGTGCTCGCACCGCAGCAGTATTGGCCGAGTGCATCACGACAATAACGGATGTTCGAATCTTCTCACTATAATTCATGTTTAGGCCAGGTACGTTTAGCCATCGACCTGCTGGCGGGCGCGGTTTTCAGTTTCAGTTGTCCTGTTTTCACGTCCTAGCGGTGGCTCACGCGTCTCTACCTTTAACCCCTTACCCAGGCTTGTCACAACAAGCCTTCGCCACGCAATTACCCTCCGCCACTGTAGCTCCACTCGGTCCCTGCCGTCGACGCCGGCTTCAAACAAGAGCATGCCGTCAATCCCGGCTTCAAAACAGCGCCGAACAACGCTTGTACTCATGCCACCCGCCACTTGATAGTCCTTTCCACGACCTCACCCGCCGAGCAGAACGACAGCCTCCGACAAGAGTTCCCGGGCCTCATGGAAGACGTGGAGCCCTTTCTTGCCCTGGCGAGGGAGGCCTTCGGGAACGAGCCGGACGCCGTGAACCTCTGGATCGGTGACGACCGCTCGCTGTCGGCCGTGCACAAGGATCACTACGAGGTGAGGTTAAGCCTAAGATTGAAGCGATCGTCAGGGAATGGGGGAAGAAGCGACGGGGGTGGCAACCACCTCTCCAAAAACTACACGCTGCCCCGTGTTTGCACCGTTCTCTGTGCTGTGTCCTGTGTGCTTTGTCCCATGTTATTTGGCTTGTGTGGCTTGTCCTGCGTGCTATGTGCCTTGTCTTGTGTGTCTTGTCCTGTGTGCTGCGTGCTGCGTGCTTGCGGTTGTCAGTGGTTGCCGTCGCACCGCACGGCGTCGCGCTCAGCTGTCGGTTGTCGCGGGCTCCCAGGGCCTGGCAGCAGCCAGGTATCCACACACGAGTATGTCTATTTTTCGCGTGGCGTGATGTTGCCATTGTCCTCGAGAGTGTTGCGCTTGCCGCAGAAGGTTGGCGTGCAGCGACTTTTGAACAGCGACGCCGTCAGTGCATTCCCGACCGTCTGCGTGTTTGTTTCATATTTCCCTGGGCCTAGTCGACGTCACAGAAGCAGTGCAAAGGTATCAGAACGGCACTTTTTCGCGTCGACCGACGTTCGCAGCGGCCATGCGTTCCCAGTGTCACGCACGCACCACGACTTGGCGACGGACCTGCAGCTACCCACAACCAGTTGGTCATTTCCGAGCCATTCCGCCAGTTGCGTCACGCGCAGGAGCCCTCCCATTGTACCCCAAGAGGCTCGTCTTTTTGCGCCCGCCACATGTCCAAGGTAGCGGAAAAGGGCAAAGCACGAGCAGGGAAGCTGCACCCAATACACGCAAACCGGCACCTCGATACACGCATCAAATTGACGGTTTTGAAGAGCGTAATCGTACCGCGGCTAGAGTACGCCGGCGAAGTATGGGAAGGAAATAAGAAGGTAGTGAAAGAACTCGAGGCGGCGCAGATGAAAGCAGCGAAAACCATCCTAGGATGCTCCAGGCGCACAAGTAATGCAGCCGTGAGGGCAGAATTGGGGATCCAATCCCTACGGTCGGGAAGAGACGCGAGGAAGCTGACCTGGCAGTATCGCATTTGCGGGATGGGAGAGGAGAGGTTGCCGAG